TGTTTGTAAGTAGGATCACAAGTCTGCATCTTGTACAGCAATTAACCACTAAGAAGAATATATGCAGTGTATTATTTGTTGAAACTGTACTTTTGATTTGATTTGAAACTGTCTCATTGCTATATGTTTATCAATAAAACTTTGAAAAAAAACAAAAAAATAAAAAATAAAAAAAAATAAAGTGTCTGAACATCTAATCAGTAGTTTCAGACAATAGTGTGACAAAGTAGTTCCTCTGAGTTACCCAGAGGGAGGGCACCTAGAGGGAGGTAAAACCATTATGGTTCTGAGTCCTCTCCTTGCTTCAATCAGAGTAATCTGCTTGATACACTGGAATGGGACCGAAGATTTCATTTTAGAAGAGGAAGAAGAAAGTTTTTAAAACCAGCAAAATAGAGGTTTTGTTATTACATAAAACAATCTGGTCACAATTAATACCATTTATTACATTTTTTGTTTTCTCAAATCACTCAAAGGACCAGCATTTTCAGATGTCACAGTAACAGAACAAAAAAGTATGTCTTCATTTATCCAAATTTTTTCAAACATTTTCCTTTTTTCTAATACTTGCCTTCTAAAACCTTGAGGATTTTTCCTTTTGAAATATGATTAAGAATTTACATATGATGTCAGGGAAGTTATTTTTATTAAAATACTGTTTACAATTATGGACAGATTTTTACGTAGGTTTTTAAAATATGAAATATCTTTTAAAAATGTAGTGTACTTTAAAAAGCACAACAAGTAGCTACAATAAACCGATAAACACCCAAAAGTATGATAATATATGACAGAATACAAAACCACCACCGATGAGTCTCAGAATAATTTTGCTGAATAAAAAAAAAAAAGATTCTATAAAAGGGTACATACTGGCTCCACTGATAGAAAACATTAAAATATACAAGCTAACCGATACTGAAAAAAGCACAATGGCAACTGACTGGGGGAAGGGACTGAATATTCTTAGTAACAATTATGTTATCTTTAATATGATATGGATTTCATGCGTGCATACACAAAAATTACAAATTATCTAGTTTAAATTCATGCACTAACTGTAAACCAAATATTTCACAGAGAGAAAGAACAGCCAGGCCACAATTTTAAATTTGAATGTACAATAATGCGTAAAGGCCAGCCTCTCAGCTGGGCCCAGAGGTGCACACATGCGACCTGCACTGCGCCCAGTGACAGACGGAGGACGAGCGAAGTCGGAGAGGGGCCTGCTCCGATAAACTCTGTCTCAGAAAATAAAATACGGTGGGAGTATGTGTCAGTGATCCCTAAGTTCATTCTGCACTACTGAACAAATAAAATCTGCTCCATAAAATGTTTAAAATCATTTCAGAGCACAAAGCCACCATAAAATACTGAAGTATGACATGATATTCAAGTTTTTGGGTTTTTTTTTTTTTCTTTTCTTTTCAAAGTTTTATTGATAAACATATAGCAATGAGACAGTTTCAAATCAAATCGAAAGTACAGTTTCAACAAATAGTACACTGCATATATTCTT